CTTATTAACTTGTTAACTTGTGCTATGGTACTATTGGCCCTCAGGTATGAGCAGAACAATTCCGCAATGGCCTTCAAGCTCCTAGGTGCGGCTACAAGGTGATGATTTTCTTCTTGGAGTATCGTCTTAGAGAAGCGTACGCGTTAACCCGATTAGTGTTTGTGTTTAATAGGTGTTAGCCCCGGAATGGTAGCGCCTACTACTATCAATCGGTCTCTTGACTTCGCTCGTGACGAGACTCGTGATCACTGTGATCGACCAGAGCGGCTGGCGGGCTTCCACTAACTTTGCCAAAACCTTTTGTCGAAGTGGTGATGGCCACACAATTCGCGCAGGTGCAAAGCCATTTAAAGCTCTAGACATGGCGTCCTCCGCAGCATTTAACACGCATGAGAGTGTGGAGGGTGGCACAGCAAACATGAGGCAAAGCGATTCTCTTTTCATGGTACCTACGTAAAACGACAACAACAGACCCAGAACCTGATGGTGGTGCTGTAACTTCCTGGGTCTCCCCCACGCGGAGAGTACTGAGGAAGCTCAAAACAAAGCGCAAAACGCTCTAATAGGATCTCGAACGCAGCTCTATTCAAAATACACATTTTGTACTGTCAGGTCGCTGTTTATGTAGATAGACACAGATATATCTTACCGAGATAAGCTCGTCTTTGTTATCAGGTTCCCATCGGTGCCGTTAAGCCACAATCGCATCCAGTCGGACTCCATGGGGTGCTTTAAGCAGTCGAGAGCTACGTAGTGCCTCATTCGTACGAGTCTCTGCCACTCAATACGTAGCTTCTCTTCATGGAGGCTTCGTCGCAGGCGACTCCAGAGTAGAGAGTACCGTTTGCGACGTTTGTCGCGTCGCCGCATAGCAGCACAGAGCACTAACACCGCTCCGTCGCTGCTCATAGCAACTTCTCTATCGAGATCTTCTATGAGGATGTTGCAGGGAAGGGGGGTGCAAATCATTTAGCGATCTTTTGCAATCTTGATAAATAGAGATTGTAGAGCTATTTTTGTCCTAATTTTCACTTGTGCAACACACGAAGGCTGCGACTTTATAACTTATTACTTACTAAAAAACGACAGCCTTCTTCAAGGCAGGTCGCTACGCCAACATCTTCTTCCATGAATTTGATGATGCGTCACCCTTCCGGATATACGATCAACGATGGGTGTGGCTCTCATTAGCAATTTGATAAAGTCACGTCGTTGCCACAGCAGCACTAGCTATCCCAAGCGATTCCAACGACTAGCTCATGTTATGAACGACGGAAGCCTACTCATGACAAAACAAACCACTGCATACTGTCGAAGCATCTAGTACATCAATGCTAATCTACACACTTCCTTCTATTGCTCATAAACAGACAGCCAGACAACTGAAATGCGATTTCCCACCCCCACAGTAAATTCCAGTACGTCAAATGTTCTCGCAGAAGCAGCTTAATTATAATACAACAACCGATTCAGACCACAAACGCCATCCATCGGAGCCACAAAGGGGAAAAAGGGGTGATGGCGACTGTGTACTACTCGACATAGAATCGAGTATCGAGGCCAATCGCCATCGACGCCAAGGATTAACAAGGCCTCAGGCCATGCGGCATTGGCTTCTCTTCGGCCAGCGACAAATTGGCCGGTATCGCAGCCGCCTGCGTGCTGGCTGCGCGCACCAGACTCGCACGCGCAGCAGACACATTCAGTGCCGCTATGCCTCGCAGCAACGGTTCGTGGCGCCGAACTTCTTACAAACGCCAATTTTTACTAGATTTATAAGCTATAGCAGTTTCTTATCCCTAATAAAGGGTTACTAGCCTCCGAATTGAGCATAAAAAGTGATTTTTTACGCCTATTCTTAGGCCACCACAAGAACGTGGTGATTTCCCTGTTTAATAAAAAGGACCCTTGACTTTAATGTCTTTGAAAGGTGATGCCTTCAATTACAAATCAAATAAAATTGGACAATCGTTCCTTGGCTTAATGATCATTATGTTTTAAAAAATCGAGGTTTTTCAGTTTTTTTACATGATTATAATTTGTACCTTTAGCCCATTCCAATAATTAATAGATACCCCGTAAAAAGTAAATAGGAGTAGTCGTAAAAACAAACTAAATCAGGCTATAACATTATTATAAGGGACTTCGTCCCCAATTATCGTGACAATTGCATCCTTGGCCACCACAGTTCTGTCTTGAACGATACAGGTAAAAGTCACATGCTAAAAAGCATCGGTGCTCTTACAGTAGCTGTGCACAATTTTTTTTAAAAGAAAAGGGCAGAAATCCTCTAAATTGCTGATGCAAAATGGACCCTATGAACGACATCTACACGATCATTTACACGAACCAGACTTTCCTGTGATAATTGTCACCCTCAGACCCTCCGCAGTCTACCGCCGACGTCCGGCCACTTGGGTTGCAGGCGTTTTCTCCTCGTCCTCGCTGTCACTTGATAGTTCGTCGAAACTTTGCTGGATTTGGCTGAGTGTGTGCTGGAATCCAGGACGATCGCCGCCAAGTTTCGACAGTTGCTTCGTGTTGCCGAACCGTCCATACAATTGGCGTGCCGACAGCAGCATACTCTCGTCCTCGCTATCCTCATCTTCTGACACACCCGAGGCGGGGACGGTGTCCAGTACTGACGATCCAACCGACTGGTAGCGGAACACCTGCACGTCGTTGCTGCCCGTGCTGCTGGCACTGCTCGCCCGATTGCGCTCATCTTGTTGCAAGCGTGAAGCGTCCTCGGTGACACCACCAGCTTGTGCTTTCTGCTGCTGATGCGCATTGAAAGAAGCCGAGAAGTTCAATTGAAAGTTGTCCAGAGCGGAGCTGCTGTCGGTGCTCTGTCTTGGCGTACTCGAAGCGGTCGAGGTGGTCGGCTCCTCTTTAGGCGGTGTCTGTTGCTCTGCCGCGCGGAAACGATCAGGAAGATACGCCGGCGCAGTACTGTTGCTTCGTGGCGGGATGATAGCCTCGTTGAAGCTAGGAGACGTAGAAGTTGCGAGGTCCAAGGCAGCAGGTGATGATGCTGACGTTGCTGAGAGCCTTTCAATAGCGACAGGCGAGGCAGACGGTGGCGTTGCCGGCGGCGTTATCGCATCCAGACCCATACTACAGATACTGCTGCCACGTGCACTGCTGCTAGGGACCGAGGAGAAGGAGATTCTGCTGGATGCACGAGCGCGGCTCTCTGAAACCTCATCACCGCTGGTCTGCAGCGTGTCCGCCGCCAGCATCATCGACATGGGAATAACAGGAGGTGTCGAGTCATCTTCTACTGGCGCTAGCCTGTCGCGAGGGACTTCGTAGCCACGTTGAGCTCCTTTGAACGCCAAATCATCAGCAGCGCCGTCTACAGCAGTTGAAACGAGACTCACACCAGTAGCAAAGCGGTCGTCGGTACGTGTGGTCGAGGGCGAACTCTTGTCGCTTAGTTCACTGGGGCCCAGCACCACGCGGTTGGCAGAACCAGCACGAGTGTTCGTGGATCGCTGCCGTTCGTCCACCGACATGTTTTCGAGAGCGAAAGTACCTTCACGATTGATAGTAGGACGTGAGGGTATCGCCAGATCTAAAGCTTTACCACTCTTGGTCTTGGGAGACGTCGGCATGCGCTCGTACGGAGACATCTCATCGTTCGATTGGGACGCACCACCGTCATGGCTCTGACGAATAATGAGTGATTGGTCGTGGAACTGACGCATGTCGGCATCCAAGTAGTTCATATCGCAGCCCACCGTGTTGAGGATCGCCTCATCGTCCGACTCAGACTGCTGTCCGTCAGTGGGAGCCTCCATCTGCCCGTGTAGCGAGTACTTCCTGGCCAAACGATCCACTTGTTTATCTTCATCGCATCCTGGAGATGTCTCCGATACGTGTTCATCGCGTTTCTTGGCTATATTCGTCTGGTCATACTCATAATCGATCAAGTCTTCCACTTTCGAGCGTTGCAGCTGTTGATCGCGGTCAATCAGGTCTACCTCAACTACCCCAGTCTTCTTAGGAGCCACGGCTTGTGTGTTGTCAGTAAAGGGAGGCGCCAATTGCGAGCCTACCAACGAGTTCGCAATGGACGGGCGCTCTAGCACATTACGTGTAGCAGTATGAGCCGAAGGCGACGGAGGCGGCAGCGCAGGCGTTTCAGCGAATTCCTGAGCTTTCGTCTCCTCAACATCATCATCGACGGGCTTACGAGACAGAGCACTGGACAACGTGGAAAGCTTGGCGCTGACACGACGCTCTTCTTCATCGTCCGACGCCCCCATAGACGTCTCTGAGTCTTCGTCCGTGTCGTAGATATTCGCTGCTTTCATGTCGTTTTCCATCGCAGCAACGAAGCTTTGCACCGGCTGCGTCATACGTCCCCATACTCTCGTCATGTTTCTGCTCGGCAATTGGGGTAACCACAGCACGAGTCGGTGGATCGTCGTACGTGTCAATGTCGATAGAACTGGCAGAAGAGTCCGAGCTAGTCGACGAACGTCGCTGCTCGATCTCACGTTCGCGTTGACGCAGCAGCTCGTGGTCGCGTCCGCCGTCTCTAGGAGCAGTGGGCGGCATGGCAGCCATGCTCATACTGTTTAGTTCAATCGGAATAGTCGACGCAGACGTCGTCAGCGCACTCATTTCCAGCGGAGGCGGCGCGTTCGGGTCGTCCAGCGTCGCATCGTACGGCCCGAAGTCCGGAATCACCGCGTGGTCAGCCAACGTCGCACCATACGCACCAAAGTCGCTGGGTGGAGCGTGGTACATCGGAGGAGCGTCAAAGTCGTGTTTGTCGCGACTGGCTTGCTGCAGCGCAGACATGTACGCGTCGGGCATGCGGTGGTCGCTACTGGAGCGGCTCATGTAGTTGTCCTGACGCTGTAGTTGCTCTAGACGTTCGCGACTACTGAGCTCCTGTAAACGACTGAAGTTGCTCATATTGCGGCCATTTCCTAGCAGCATGTCGCTACTTTGACTGCGTGGAATCCCATTCGGCGGACGTCGTGACGCTCCAGGAACCGGACGGTCGAAAATCGAGGCGGGAGACGGTACAGCAGGCGGTCCTGGCATCTGCAATGTGATGCGTCCTTCTCCTCTAGCAATAGGGTCATCCAGCGACAAACTCTGGCTTGGTCGGAAGTCAGAAGGCCGCATACGTTGACTGCCACGGTGATCACGTGAGCGACTGTAGTCCTGTTGTTGTTGCTGGTATCTCTGCGATCGTCTATACAGATCAGCATCGGGGGGTTGTCCACGTGAGCGATGACGCGACGTCGAGGGCGGAAAGTCCGCACCAAAGCCAGGAATCGGCGACGTGCTGGACATCCGGCGACTTGAAGGTTTCTCACGTCGCATGGACTGCAAGAAAATCTTGGGCGCTTCCTCCTCTCTGTGGCCATGACGCCCACCTACACGCGACGTCATAAATGACGCGCGTCTGTCATCATCATGATACCCCAAGAAACTCATCGACATGGTCGAGGAATGTGGCGGTTCAACCAGAGCCGACGTGGGCTTGGGGGCGTTCGTAATCACCTGGAAACAGTGCATACAGATGCGTAGTTTACGCACCTCGTCGCCTCCATTCGTCGCCGCAAAGTTGCGGTTCTCAATGGGGAATTCCTTGCTACAGGCAGCACAGACAACTTCTCCACACTTGCGGCAGTTCATTTTCCTCAATAATAAGAGCGAGAACGAGTCCTGACACACGGCACATCTGGCTCTGTACTTCCTGGGGACCAGCTCCAGGTCGCTCAAGTATCGCTGCTCATTAAGACGTTTGCTCCTCAGCATGTTCCTCACCTGGGCGACGAACAACACGCGCATTCGCAATAAACTGGCGGGCACAGGAGTGTGTTCCTTCAAATTCAGTTGCACGAGGTGAATCACATCCACATGACCCGGTCGCTCTTCACTTTCCACCAATACGAAGCCGGAATGGTACAAACTGCCACGCACAAGTCCGAATTCTTTCTTCAGGTCGTCACAACCGGGTAATTTGATCGAGTGTTGGCCCAGAACCCACCCTTTGCGTCCTCTGGCATCGATAAACTTGTCTTGACACTCCAAGTAGCAGAAATCGCGATGTGGCAAACCGTGTGGCATCTGCACAACCATCCACTTGGCTGTCACTTGGTGCAAAGGCTTTTCCTTTGTCCGAGGAGCCAGGGTATGCAACACCACGCCGTCGTAGAACCATTCTCGATGCGCTCTAGCGAACTCCTTCATCTGTCGTGTCGAGCCTAATTGGAAGAGTGACGCCACCTCCTTCACGGTGCCCGGCACACTGGTCACGCCACACATACTGGCGGCGGTGAGGGCCGCGCCGGTGGCTGTCGAGCGCGGAGAGCCCGCATAGATCTGTACGCCATTGTCCTTCTCTACGTGGCGCCATGCGATAGGCCCGCTGGCGCTGCGTGCGCGTTCCACGAGCTCCTGAGCCGCCTCGCATGATTTGCGCACGAGGTACGCGCGCTCACGCGACGAGAGCAGCGGAGGCTCGAAGTAGTTCTCGCGCAGAGGCGTCCATACGCGCGAGGCACCCAGAGACTCGTTGCTGGCCGTAGAAGCCGCGGGTCCCGCCACCCGCGACGAAGAGAAGCCTCGGGCCATTTCACAAGAGTGATGGTCCCTTGTCTTCGCGACGTCGTATTCGAGAGTGAGGAAAAAAGATGAAGGCGGGACTCTTTGCTCTGACTCCCATCCGTTCGGTAAGAAATGGCGTATAGAAAGGGATGATGACAATGTTGTATGGACAATATGGGTAGAGATGTGAAAGGGACGCCTTGAGCCGGACAGAGCGAAGCAAAACGATAATTTTCACCGAAAGCGAAGGGTACGAAATTGTACTGAATCCGACACGCGATGATAAACGTGTTGCACTTGCATTTACTGCAACTAGGGAAGAAAGTGTTGTTGTCATTCATGTTGATACTGCGCATGATGCACCTAGGAAACGTCACGCTCATGAGCGCGGTCAATACTGGCTGGCTGGCGTTGCGGTTTGAATGGCGAAAGAGGGTTGCGGCAGTTTGTAACTCGGCAGAAAACTATCAGGTGAGCTCCATACTGGCAATGGGGGCTCTTTACGTTCTCTCTTTCTTCGAGAACATGATCAAGGTCACCCGGGGGGTGATCATTGATCACCCTGCCGCGTGCTCATGGTCCCACTTGGCCGCTCCACGGCGTGACGACGACTCACGATGTCGCTTCAATTGGACACTGTCCAACTGGCGACGTCGGAAGTCAACAAAAGCACCTTCGTAGTCGCATCGTAGTCGTCCATTCCGTGCACTGGTGTGCGGATCGCGCAGCTCTCTCTTTTCCTTCTTCAAATGCCGCGCTGCTCCACCTCAATCCGACTGCCTGTCCTATTCGTCGTTTCTTTCGAGCGGCTACATGTAATGCGCTGGCTCATCGTCAATGCGTCGAGGTCTCGGCCGTGCACTTGCAACACTGCGTCGCACAGTGCGCGGCAAGTGTCCGCACGATCGGACGTAGTACGTGTCCTTGACTCATTGTTACCTGGTACCCTGACAGAGGTGCTCCACTCCTCTCGAGTCCGTCGTAGCAGTGCTGCAAGTCGTCATCCGTGAAACCTTCGAGGGTCCAGCTTTTTTTGTCATTCTCAGCGATTAATATTAATAATTCACGCACAACGTCACTTCACCATCTTAGTTTTCACCACGATCGACGCAGACGATGTACATGTAGTCCTACATCGGTAACATAGCGTTTACCACCCTCATCGCCGGTACTATCCAGCATTAATATTGGACTACCGGTACCGTACCCCAGAGCTGTTAGACACCAACCACTTGAACCTCTTCATGTGCAGTCAGGATATGTGTTATGTGATTAACGAAGTGCGAGCACGCACGCGGTTGGCGTCCAGAGTTGTATCCAGGCGATCCACAAACGTTGACTTGACGATCGGTGTATAGATCACGCAGTGGCCTCGGAGCGCGTATCCGCCTGCTAAATCTTTCGCGTTCTCTTCGCAGATTGCCATCAACTCGCCGAAAATCTCAGTTGC